TCAAAAATCAATAAATGGGATGAATTCAAACTGAAAAGCTTCCTCTCAGCAAAAGAATAAGAGAGATGAAGACAGCCTATAGAATGGGAGCAAATTTTTACCACATGCACATCAGATAGAGCACTAATCTTTAGAGTATACAAATAACTCAAAGAACTTAACACCAAAAATTCATATAGCCCAATCAATAAATGGACTAAGGAACTGGACACTTCTCAGAAGATGATATATAATCAATCAACAAATATATGAAAAAATATTCAACATCTCTAGCAATTAAAGAAATTCAAATCAAAACTACTCTAAGATTTCATCTCACTCCAGTCAGAATGGCAGCTATTAAGAATACAAACAACAGTAAGTATTGGCAAGGATGTGGGGGAAAAGGCACACATACATGCTGTTGGGACTGCATATTGGTGCAACCAATCTGGAAAGCAGTATGGAGATTTCTTGGAAAACTTGGAATGGCACCACCATTTGACCCAGCTATTTCACTCCTCGGTTTATACCCAAAGGACTCAAAAACAACATTCTGCGGAGACACAAACACATCAGTGTTTACAGCAGCACAATTCACAATAGCTAGATACTCTTCAATAGATGAATGGATAAGAAACTGTGGGATATATTCACATGGAATAGTACTCAGTATTAAAAAATAAAATCATGGCATTTGCTGGTAAATGGATGGAATAGGAGAATATCATGCTAAGTGAAATAAGCCAATCCCTAAACACTAAAGGCCAATGTTTTCTCTGATGCTGATCCCTAATGGAGGTGGGGTGGGGAGAGCATGGAAGGAATGGAGGAACTTTGGATAGGGCAAAGGGAAGGGAGTGGAGGGGAGAGGGCATGGGGGTAGACAAGATGGTGGGATGAGATGGACATCATTACACTACATACATGTATGAAGACATGAATGGTGTGATTCTATTTTGTGTATAACCAGAGAAATGAAAAATTGTGTTCTATATGTATACTATGAATTGAAATGCTTTCTGCTGCCATGGATAACAAATTAGAATAAATAAATTTTAAAAATATAAATAAAGTGTATGCATATCTTGTCACCCCTTGCTATTGTCTATTGTTTTTATTATAGTTGCCATCCTGGTGGGTAAGAAGTGGGGGTGTCTCCTTGGGGTTTTGATTTGCACTTTCCTAAGGATTAATGATATTGACTATCTCTTCATGTACTTAGCCCTTCATATACCATCTTTTGGGAAATGTCTTTTTGGAAATCTATATTCATATATTCAAAAAATCAAATATGGCATCTATTCTTGATTTTTAAAAATTTTAAATGAAACAATTTAAAAAATAAGATAGTTTACAGAGCTTAATGGGAAATCATACTGCATAATAAAATATTAGATATTTCTTTAATTCTGGGAGCAAATGGGTATCTTCCTTCCAAATTTAAAGAAGTTTAATTTAAGAAGTTTAGGCAATGCAGTAACTACCACAGGGTAGTTCCATTTGAGATAGTATCAAGCTAGTCCAGAACCCTCTCATGGGTTAATTCTTAGGAAGAGGGGTGTGGATCCATGTGCATACCATGAGATCCTGGGGACTGTGAAAGGGGGTGAAGAAAATGGAGGTCTCTGGTTTCCACATAGCTTTTGTCTTCCTGTCTCAGCACATCCTTTCAAGGTACTTTGTTATTCACATGGGCTAAACAGGGCGAGTTTCTCTTCTTCGTACGAGGCCTGTCATCCCAGCTAATCAGGAGACTGAGGCAGGAGGATCATAATTACAAGCTATCCAGAGCAACTTGGTGAGACCCTATCTCTAAATAAAAAAACAAGGTCTGAGGATGTAGGCAGTGGTAGGGAGAATGCTTACCTAGCATGTGTAAGGCCCTGGGTTCTATCCCCAGTACATACAGATGCACAAATGCAAAAAAAAAAATTAAATTAAATTATCATTAATTATCATTATTAATAGATAATCTGATGAAAATGTCAACCCCCCCAAAAAAACTGCATAAAAATTTGTAAGAGCAATTAAGTAAAATAGTGGTTATAAAAGCCTATAAAAATGAACAACTTTCAAAAAAGAGAAGTAAACACTTAAAAAATAAATTTCACCAATATTTCCATTCA